TAGTTAGTTAGTTAGTGGGTTAGTTAGCTAGTTAGTTTCAGTTAGTTAGTCAGTTAGTTAGTCAATTAGATAGTGAGTTAGTTAGTTCGTCAGTTAGTGAGTTACTTACTAGCTAGTTAGTCAGTTAGTTAGTTACTAGTTAGTTAGTCAGTTAATTACTAGTTAGTTAGTTACTGATTTAATTAATAGCAAGTTAGTCAGTTAGTTACTAGTTAGTTAGAAACTAGTTACTGAGTTAGTTACTAGTTTGTTAGTCAGTTAGTTCGTTACTTACGAGTTATTTAGTTTGTTAGTCAGTTAGTTAGTCACCAGTTAGTTAGTTAGTTAGTCAGTTATTTAGTCACTAGTTAGTTACTAGGTTGTTAGTCAGTTAGTTCGTTAGTTACTAGTTATTTAGTCAGTTAGCTACTAGTTAGTTAGATAGTTACTAGTTAGTTAGCCAGTTACCTAGTTAGTTAGTTACTTAGTTACTAGTTAGTTAATTAGTAAGTTAGTCAGTCAATTAGTTAGTTAGTTACTAGTTAGTTCGTTAGTCAGTTAGTTCGTTACTTACTAGTTATTTAGTCAGTTAGTTACTAGTTTGATAGTCAGTTAGTTCATTAGCTACTAGTTATTAAGTCAATTAGTTAATAGTTTATTAGTCAGTTACTTAGTCAGTTAGTTACTAGTTTGTTAGTTAGTCAGTCAGTTAGTTAGTCAGTTAGTGACCGTCGTCCCGATCAATCAGGACGCCGGTCGGGACTCAGTTGCTCTGTTCTCTGTCTCCCCCCAGTGGACGCCTCGGCCTCGTCGGAGGACGAAGACGAAGATGATGAGTCCTCGTCGGAGGAAACCAAGCAGCCCAGTAGTCAGAAGCTGCTGCGTAAGTCACTTCCTGTGTCGGCCACCGTTGGCCGCTGTTGGTCAGTGTTGGTCAGTGTTGGAGGACGTGTCGGACGTTCAGATTTAAGATGGTGACCAGTCGAGTCCACTGAAGGTGGTGACGGACGACGAGACGATGATTAGACGAGACGAGATGACAAAAAGACAAAAACACAAGATGACAAGACGACAACAAAACCAGACAAGACAAGAAGAAAGGACAACAAGACGACAAGAAGACATGACGACGAAGACAAGGTGGCGTCAAGAAGACAAGATGAGACGACAACAAGACAAGATGATGACAAGACATGGCGACGAAGACAACAAGACAACATGACGACGAAGACAAAAAGACGAGACGACAACAAGACAACAAGACACGATGACGAAGACAAGATGACAAGACATGACAACAAGAAGACAAGATGATGTCAAGAAGACGAGACGACAATAAGACAAGACAACAAGAAGTGATGACGAAGACAAGACGACCAAGACAACGAAGACAAGGCATGATGACAAGACTACATCAAGACGTGACGATGAAGACAACAAGACAAGACAACAAGACATGATGACGTCAAGAAGATGAGAAGACGGGACAACAACAATACAAGACGACCAAGACAACAAAGACAACAAGACAAGACAACGAAGACAAGACGTGATGACAAGACGATATCAAGACGATGAAGACAACAAGACATGATGACGTCAAGAAGTCAAGACAAGACAACAACAAGACATGACGACAAAGATGACATGAAGACAAGACGACGTCAAGAAGACAAGACGACAACAAGATATGACGACAAAGACACGACGACGAGACGACATGAAGACAAGACGACGTCAAGAAGATGAGACGACAACAAGATGTGACGACAAAGACACGACGACGGGACGACATGAAGACAAGACGACAAGTCCCTGAACAGAATCCGACCATACGACAAAACGGAAAAAACTGGAACCAAGCGATCGACGTTTATAACGACTAGCGGTGGAAGAAAAACGTTGTCCACCGTTCGGAGTCACAGCTTTGGCTCCATCCAGAGGAACGTAACGGTACTGACTCTCTCTCTCTGTCTCTCTGTCTGTCCGTCCTCGTCCCACAGCCATGTCCCCCCAGTGGGCTCACCCGGAGAAAATGGAGAAGAAGCTCCACGCCGTCCCCGCCAGCAAGACGGTCAAGTTCCGATGTCAGGCCAGCGGGAACCCGACGCCGACCCTGAAGTGGTTCAAGAACGGCAAGGAGTTCAAGAAAGACCATCGCATCGGAGGGTTCAAGGTCGGCAGCGTTTTCCTCCCCCCCCC